TGGGATTTAATTAATCAATTTTTAGTGCTGGGTTTTGAACCTAGGCTCTGAATCATATAGTGCATTATATTTTATTCATATATTCATTTATTTATTTATTTATTTATTTATTTATTTATTTATTTATTTATTTATTTATTTATTTTCTGGAGTGGAGGACTGACCCAGGGCCTTGTGCTTGCTAGGCAAATGCTCTACCACTGAGCTAAATCCCCAACCCCCTAGACTTTATTTTTAAATATGCTCCTGACAAGAATCAACTCCATCATTTCCTCACTGGCAGGAAGTGCATCTTACTTAATTTTGATCAGTCATGAGAGGATGAATGTTTCAGCAATGATAATAGTGGCTAGTTGCTGTTGCCTATTTTTTATTGCAGGTAGGCCCATCTGCCTAGAGAGCTTGCTTCTTATAATTCCCTCTTAGCTTCTAGTAAGATTTAGTCCAAACTGCTTCTTCCACCTGAATTCAATCCCTGGGACCCACCTAGTGGAAGGAGAGAAGTGGCTTACAAACATAAAATAAGAAGTAAATGTAGAAAAATAAAAGCAGCAAGAATTTAAACAGTTAATAGCATCAATACAATTATGAAAGTTGATAATATAGAAATTCTGTTATAATTCTTCAGAATAGTCTTAATTTCCTCATTCTTTTTCTTAACTCTTTGTTGTGTCCTTAGTGTTAAGTCTGTCTTCTGATTGCTTCCCTTCACCTGTCACTTGTGTTTTGGAAGTTTTTCCCTCTTAACTTTGCTGCCATCCATTCATCCTCCTCTAGACTCTAGAGACACCTTGAAGGTTGTACCACTAGTGGGTCAGAGGAGGGATGTGAACACATCAGTTACTTGATTAGATAGACATTGTGGAATTCTACTGCCACAAGGATTGTATGTACCAATTAGGTATACTTTATTTTCAAAAATGTCAAATTAAGGGAAATGCATATTTAGTAAATAATAGCTATTACCTTTGATATGTATATTTCCTTTTCATTAAAAATGGCCACATGGCTGGGTTGCTTCGCCCAACCTTGATGCAGGGGGAGGAGCTTGGTCCTGCTTCAACTTGATGTGCTATGCTTTGTTGACTCCCATGGGAAGCCTGCCCTTTCTGAATGGAGATGGAGGAAGAGTGGATGGAGGTGGGTAGGAGGGGTGGGGGCAGGAGACGAGGAGGGAAGGGAACTGGCTATGTAAAATAAATGAAAAAATTTAATTTAAAAAAATGGTCACATGTTGAGAGACTGCCTGTTGCCGGCTCCTGTTCTAATGTCCTTCTCTTGTGTGCCTTGGGTAATGGCTCTTCAGGTTCAAATATTAATTGCATAATTAGATTGTAAAGTCTTTGAATTACAGAGTCCTTGTCTGATCAGTCTTTAGTAGGGTACTTTGGACTTGAGAATACATGTAAATTAAATTAGCCCTCACAAAACCTGAATCTGGTAGTATTTTTTGCACAATAATTGTCAAATCCTGTGTAATGCTAGCTAGAAACTGCTCTTAAAGTGGGAAGAAGATGGAAGATTGTTATCATTTGGAAGTTTGGTTCTTTCTGCTTTATTTCTATGTGTGTGTATGTCTGTGTCCTTGGAATACGGAGCTGGAGTTACAGGGAGTTGTGAGCTCACCCAAATGAGTGCTGAGAACTGAACTCAGGACCGACCTGGAAGTTTCTTTACTTAAAAGCCTTTTCAATTTCAGGGAGGAATACTTTAGGTAATAATAACAAAAGATGTTGATTTCTGGTCTCTTCTATTTATTCATTTACTTATGTGTCTTTTTGGAGTAATTTTATTTAAATTGCAGTGAAGCAGTGTTACACACTATTCTGTTTTTTAAATGACTTTAGGGGTCTTTGGTTTCATCTAGCGTTTTCAAAAGCTAAGAATTGGAGCATGTTGTTGGTGTTTGTGTGTGCGCATGCTTCTACATGAGCTCAAGTGGAATGCATGCATAACAGCCATTGGGTGACTGAATTCACAGTGAGTAAGATTTTATGGTGATATAGTACACAGTGGTTGGCACCTTTAATTTCTTAGCTGTCAGTCAAGTTTATTGCCCTTCTTTTTGCATTTGATAGATATTTGGAATGTCACAATTGTTTTCATAAATATTTTAATAATAGCTATTCTTTGACAAATTCCAGGAGGATACTTAATCTTTAAAACCACTGGTATATTCTCCACAAATGTATTTTCAGCATGCGGGATAGAGTTCTGTGTGCTCTTACTGGCCTTTCTACTTCTTGCTTCCTCCTTTGACCAGCATCTTCTTGGTCAGGTGTCCCACTATTGCCTTGAATACTTGGCCTCTTTTAGACACATAAAAGTCTTAGTTTTGGGGCACAGCTTTCAGTTTTTTACTAGGGTCTCTTGTTCTTCCAGCTACTAGGATCTAAAGATGAGAGTTTTCCTATGCTCTTCCTCTACATTCTTTACACATAGAGCTCTTAGAACTGAATTCAGCTTCTATTTTCCTCAGTGTACTTGCATGTTTTTTTCTGTTGTTTTTAGTCTCTTTGCTGTCACTGTCTTCTGGGTTGTTACTACTAGCTAATATTTTTTTCTTTTCCCTTTCTTATACACACTGCCTTTCAGCTAGTTCCCCTTTAAGTATGATGTATTTTTGTTCTTTTTCAGATTAAAGTAACTGTCAACCTAGAGTAGAACATTGACCCTGGGTTAATACTCTCCATTAACTTTATCTTTGGTACCTTGTGTGGTGGCAAAGGTCTGTTATCCTAGTACTCGGGAGGCGGAGGCAGGAGGATCTTGAGTTCTGTAGACAGTTTGAACTACATAGCAAGACCTCCTTTAAAACAAAAACAAAAACCCAAAGTCTGGGGATGTTACTCAATAGGAAGGCATTGGATTGATCCTTAGCCCCAATCCCAAACAAAATTATTTTTCATTCTTTGCCTTTTTAATTTTTAATTTAATTTAATTTTTTTTAAAGATTTATTTATTTATTATGTATACAGTAAGCCTGCAGGCCAGAAGAGGGCACCAGATCTCATTATTGGTGGTTGTGAGCCAACATGTGGTTGCTGGGAATTGAACTCAGGACCTCTGGAAGAGCAGCCACTGCTCTTAACCTCTGAGCCATCTCTCCAGCCGAAACCCACTATTTTATACAATCAACATACATCAAAACAAAGAAAACCTCTGTAAGGGAACTGGGGGGTAGGTGTGAACAATTGATATTTTGATAAGCAAAGCTCATGCCAAGAGAAAAATTGATTAAATAAATTAGGACATCTTTTTTCTTAAGACTAGTTATGGGGGCTGCAGAGATAATTTGGCTGTGAAGAGCTGCCAGTGGTCTTCCAGAGGACCTGGGTTTGGTTCCCACCACCCATATGGAAGCTCACAACCATCTGTAACTCCAGTTCCAGTGAATCTGATGCTCTTTTCTGGCCTCCACAGACATGCATTACATGGACATGGCACATAGACATACATACAAGCCAAAAACCCATACACATATTCAGAATAAATCTTTTTTTTTGAAAAAAAGGCTCATTATGAAAGTTCACCTTTAAATCTCCAACAGTTGAGTATCTGATGTATGAAGGAGGGTATCCATCCAAAATAGCAAGCCAATGACTAACAGAATATAATCATAGTATTATAATACATGGTGGCCAAAATATTTGCAACCCAGAAATAAAAAAAACTTGTACAACTCAATAGTAAGACGCATACAGATTCACACAGACATATATACAAACAGGACATTGGATGATATTGCAATAGATATTTAACCAAAGTATGTGAATAGTCAGTAAGTACAGATAATCTTCATTAAAACATCTCTTAATCATTAGAAAAACAAGGACTAAAACCACAATGAGGGGGCTGGCTCAGAAGGTAAGAGCACTTGCTTTTGACCTAGGTTTGGCTCCCAGGACTCCAGTTCCAGAGGATCTAATGCTCTTGTGGCCTCTATGGGGACCCAACACACACACACACATAAAGCATTTACATACATGCAGGCAAAACACTTATGTGTAAAATAAAATCTTTAAAAATCACAATGAGGTAGTATATATATCTTAGTCACTGTTACATTGCTGTGAAGAGACACTGTGACCAAGGCAATTCTAATAAAATAAAGCTTATAATTGTGGGTTTACTTACAGTTTCAGAGGTTTAGTCTATCATCATCATGTCGGGGAGCATGGCAGCAGGCAGGCAGACTGGAGGTGTAGCTTAGAGCTATACATCCTGATCCATAGGTCAAGAGAACAAATCCCACCCCTGGTGACACACCTACACCAACAAGGCCACACTGCCTAACATTTTCAAATAGTGCCATTCCTGATGACTAAGCATTCAAACACATGAGTCTATTGGGGTCATTTTTTATTCAAACCACCACAACATACCTTTTTAGAGTAGGAAAAAAGACAGTAACGATTATATTAGCCAGGCATTGTGATGCACTCAGGAGGCAGGGGTGGGTGAGTTTAAGGCCAGCCTGATCATACAGAAGTCAGGCCAGCCAGAGCTGCATAGCAAGACTTAAAGAGAAACAAACAAACAAAAAAAGCCAAGACTGATAATTCTAGATGTTGCTAATGATTTGTAGCAGCTTAAAACTAATGATTGTTCATGGATATGTATGATAGTACAACCACTTAGGAATATGTAATTTAGCACTTTAAGTTAAAAGTACTTTTTAAAAATGACCTAGCAATTTTACTTCATTTAGAAGCAAATGTCCACCAGCATGTGAGTCATAAATTACAGTATAGCCATATAATGGATGTCACTCAGCAGTAAATGAAACCATGGAGGCAGTTTAGTGGTAGAGTGCTTCCTTATCATTTGTAAGTTCCTGGATTTGAGACAGGGCGATGGGATGTCTTTGTGAAATCTTCCTACCAGTAGAATGTGCTGTTATGTATGGTCACTTTGCCATTTGACATCTGTTTCTACAGGTAGGTAGGCAAAAGATAACTTACGATTTCTTGTAACCAACTTGTCTCTTATGGTTGCAGATTCTCACAAACACAAAGATAAACATAAAGATCGAGAACACCGGCATAAAGAGCACAAGAAGGATAAGGAAAAGGACCGGGAAAAGTCTAAGCATAGCAACAGGTAAGGATTGATCAACAGGGCATCACTTATTAGGGAGCTGGCATCCTTAGCTCCCATGGATAGGTATCAGTTTGAGATGAGGCCAATAGGATGGGTAGCAAAGTAAGAAACTGTATTTGCTGGAGTTGTTAAAGAGAATGCTTTTATAATTCAGGCCTCACTTGGGATGTTATTGTTTAGATCATGATGTACAAAGCAAGCATATTGAGTTTTCTTTTTTTCTTTT